TGTGTATTCCAAGCTGTTCTTGAATTCACAAACTCAAAGTAATCTTACCTCAGCCTCCTGATTGCTGGGAAATATAGGTGTGCTTGTATATGATGCCTGGCTGTACATCTAAATTTGAATTTAATTATTTTCTATATGTCCTTCCAAAGCACCATTTCCTTTATTTTTAAGCTTTAAGACAATAGGTATTGTAGATAATGTCTATTTGAATTATTGATCTATGTATTGTATCTAGTAAAGCTACAAATCTAAGCTGCATAGAGACCCTGTACCAAATGAACAAATAAATTTTATTTATTTTATTTTTATACATTAATTTTATTGAGAAAGAAGTAGCAATGAGACAGTTTCAAAACAGGTTAGTAGGACAGTTACAGTAATTAATATATTACATATTGTTGTCTTTGTAGTAGTTATTCATAGTACAAGATGCAGACATGATATCTTGTCTAGATAGATAGATTAAAACAAACACACATGAGCTTAAGATGACTGATTTATTGATACTTTTGAAAATGATGTTGTTGTAAGATGGGAATGTGTTCATTTAGGTCCATATCAAATCTAAGGTCTTTTTCTTGTTCAATGTTTAGGAAATTCTTGATGATTTCAGTTCAGCCACAGTGAGAAGTAAAGCATTCTGTCATGCAGGCAGGGAAGATGAGACACAAGGTCAAAGGGCATTTTAGAAACAAACAGCTGGATCAGTTTATTTAAACAGATAGAGGGATGGGGGAACTGACCTCTGTTTGACTTATAGTGGGAGGAGCAAGAATGTCATTTTATTACTTTGCCCAGAAGGAAAATGTTTTTGTATCAGAATTCACCCCTGAAGCCGTCTGAACACATGGCTCTGTTGTATGTAGCATAATTCCAAAGAAAGAATACTTGTTAGATGGTGTGGGGTGATGAGAGAAAAGAATCAAATGTCGAAATGATGTAAAGATTAAAAAAAAATGATGATACTTTAGAAAATGAAATGTTTTCCTATTTCCCTTGTCATCTTCAGATAAAAATGCCCACCATGACCTCAGATAATGAGTTGCTCATGAAATTGTGGGAAGAACAGTTCAGTCATATTCTGAGAGCTTGCTGTGCCCAGTATACTACTGGTACATTATATTATATTGAACTTTTATATTAAATATTTCAAAATTATGAAGTTCCACATACACCTAAGAATGGAGTCAAATAGTTCAAAGTGATTAAGTTTTCACAAGCATTCAGTGTTTTTGTTTTGCTTTGCTTTTTAAGGAAAGGATTCCTACTTTAAAATCTACATAGCTAAATGTAGTTTATATCTATTATCAATAAATTCAGTCATTGCCACAAAAAAAAAAAAAAAAAAAAGGAAAAGAAAGAAGGAAGCAAATTGCTCCTGATGCCTGTGGGCACTTTAGCTAAGATTGCAGTGATGTATTTGCTTATCAATCTGGAGCAATAGCTCAGCTGTCTACGCGCCTGACTGGCAAGTGCAAGGACCCAGTTTGATCCCCAGTACCAAATGCAGCGCCAGACCTAGAATCCCGGGCACGCTGAGCCAGCCACCAAAATCGGACATGGTGGTGCGCACCTGTGATCCCAGCTCTGGGGAGGCTGAGACAGAAGGATCGCTACAAGTCTGAGCTGCATAGAGAGACCCTGTACCAAATGAACAAATAAATTTTATTTTATTTATTTATTTTATATATATATATTAATTTTATTGAGAAAGAAGTAACGAGACAGTTTCAAAACAGGTTAATAGGACAGTTACAGTAATTAATACATTGCATATTGTTGTCTTTGTAGTAGTTATTCATAGTACAAGATGCAGACATGATATCTTGTCTAGAACAAATAAATTTTTTTTTAAATTTTAATTTTATTTATTTATTTGTGTGTGTGTGTGTGTGTGTGTGTGTGTGGCCAGCTCAGCCCACCAGGGGGCGGGGCTGGCTGGCATGTGGTGCTGGGGGATCGAACTGCGGTCCCTGTGCTTTGCCAAGCTTGTTCCAAGTAGTTGCTTTAGACCACTGAGCCATCTCGCCAGCCCCCCCCCTTTTTTTTTTAATTTTTAGAACAAATAAATTTTAAAAATTAAAAAAATATATTTGTTCTCTCTACGTGGAAACTACAGTAGACATGGATAAATCTAATTAGTGTTGTGTGTGGCAGGCCTTCAGAGGAACACATATACGGTCAGCAAACTGAGCAGAATGGGGGTCTGAGTGGACTCAAAATAAGAAAGGGACTCATGTTCTAGAAAGAACTCTTCAAGCACCAGAAATGCTTCACCTAGGGAGAAGAAGAGAGATGCCTACAGTGCGTGACAGCTAGCTATGTTTCAATATTTGAAAAATTATCCTAAGAAAGTGAAGTTAGAGTTACTTAAATTATCCCAAGGAGCTGTAATACAAAAGGATTTGAAATCTAGTCAGACAGCTTGCCTTGTCCAGGGATGGAGTGAATGCTCAGGTCATGATTGGAGCTATAATCAAACAGTCCTGCAGAGGCTTTGTATTGATGTGGGGATGTCCTAGAGGAGACTCCTGTCAATACTGTCAGAGGTGATGGTTAAAGCCCTCTCTAAAGCCAACTTGTGGTTCCATGGGTTGAATAACCATAGACTCTGACCTAAATTTGTTATAATGAATAGGAGTCTGGAAGTGTAAGTGTGAAGGAGGCAAGCTTGGGGGTGTTGGTACACTGAATCGCTGAATCTTGTCTGAATAGCTTTACTTCTGTCCATATACACAAGCAGTACGGCCTTAAAAGTTCTTAATCTCTGAGGTGCTCATATCCACGGGTGTCCTTTGACTCAGTATTAGGGGTGCTACCAGTGGAAACTGAGTCCAAACCAGCTAATTTGGAGATATTTCTGGACCCTGGAATGTCGGAGATGGTTGGCGCAGCACCACCGATGTTCTGGCAGGGTCTGAGGGTGGTGCTCACAGGTATTTGCCAGATATGTATTGTTTTGCAAATTAACATTTCTTTGGTGACTTGTGACCTCAAAAACATCACTTAATTTCACTGAGCCTTGAGACTGGGCGTGGTGGCGCATGCCTGTAATCTCAGCTCTTGGGAGGCTGTAAAACAGGCGGATCACTACGAGTCTGATCTAGTGGTGAGACCCTGAATACCCTGTAGACCCTTCCCTAAAATTAAAAAAAAAATTCACAGAGCCTTCCTCAGATCTGTTGAAAATGGCTCTTTCCTATTTTTGAGTAAATACTATAAAGCATATAGATAAAATTTTGTGTTTTAAAAGGGACTTAAAATAGGCAGTTGAGGGACTGATTTCCTTTCTTGTAAGAGCAGGTTGTGAGCAGTACCCCAGATAAAAAGCTGTGTTTTTTCTCTCTCTCTCCTACCTATGTAGCTTCTATGAAAATTACTTTTGGTATAGGCAGAATATTAATATTAAGTAATTTCATAATTGGTCACGCAGTGAAGGCAGCTAATGAAAAAGCAGATTTTTTTTCATTTTAATTGGTTATTTCACATGGTGTTTGTGCTACACCTGTGCTTATAATGAGAATGGAGAATTAATCTAACCTTCTGCTCACATGATTTAAATTTTCATGGTTTATACAAGATAATGATAACCTGATTTGCAACACAATTTGTTGAAGGTCTGTGTTTTAAATATTTTTATTAGCAGTTCAAGGGCCTCATATACAATAACTGATACATATATTGCCAATAATAGCACTAATAGTGTACCTTTTAGATTCCATTTTCATTATCTATCTATTATAACAACTTTTCAGGTAATGAAAGAGCATAAGATACAAGATGCTGAAATCTTAAAATGTTATAAAGTTATACATTTTTAGTTTAAAAAAAATGTCTGTCTATTTAATGGTCTGATTTTTAGGAACTATTTTACTTCCAGAAGTGGGGAGGCATATAAACTAGAATTAATTCTGGAATATGGATCCTCTAATTATTGATAGTACATTATTAAACTTTTCATTGTGTTTTTTTTTATGACCTTCCTTTATTTGATCTGTTCAAATCTGAGGTCAGAAGTCTGAGACAGGAACTAAAAGCAATTTACTATTTCCAAATCTAATATGTCCTCCTCATTTTTATCTCTGCTGTGTAATTCTTATTATGCAGTACAAATGGACCTTGAGACTTAAAATCTCATAGGGATGACTTTGGAGAACTTATTTTTAACTACTTTTCTACATTTCAGTGACATGTCATTTTTAGAAGGACTACAAAAATAATTGTACTAAAACTGTTATGAAGACATGTAATGTGACTTACTTGATTTAATAAAAAGTTTATAAATGTTCAGTAATACTTGGACAAAGAAAGACTATAAGTTTAATTATTATATAGTGATGACCTTGCCCTGACCTCAGATTTTGCATAAGAAGGAAAAGAAGCCCACCCTCCCCAAGAAATCTCTAGAAGGAATACATTTCTCTGAAGTCCCCAGTAGTGTGAGCTAGTGGTGATAAACTCCAGACATTCTCTCATTTGATGGTGTGCTGCCATCCCAGTTCATTATCTTAATAGAGGGCATTAAAATGGAATTAGGTTTTTAAAAGCTAAGGGAGGTTTGGATAAAAAATTGTCAAAAAGAACTCGCAAGCATGAGATGGAAATGTTTCTCACTCAGAGAGGTAGCAGATGTCCTCCTGAGCATCTCACTCTCCACACCAAAGTCTCTCCTACTGCAATTGAAAAGAGTGGTGGCCAGCATTGTTTCCTGAAAAGTCGGCTAATTCCCCCATGAAAAGATGAAATGGAAGTGTCCAACTGTGGTAAAACAGGCAAACATAAATCAACTCAGAAACCCCAAGCCTTATACTGAGAGGTCGCAGAGGGTTATAGGTTTTGCAGTGTGTGAAGCTGCACATAGAGCTAAGGAGGGGGGCAGCCACATTTTGCCAAGATCTAGCATTGCCTCACTGTGATTCATCTCTTCCTCCTCCCCTTCGTCCTCCACCTTTTTTTTTCTTTTAAAGAAATAATGAATTGCTTTACTTTTTCGGTTGCAGGTTTATTAATGCCCGGAGAAGAATAGTGCAGCCCATGATAGACCAGTCCAACCGAGCAGGCAAGTCCCCTATAGTGACTGTAT